TTGGAAGGACTGTTATTCATTTTGGGGAAAATTTCTAGAACAACTACATCATGAAATATCTTATTCTCCCCGCCCCCCCCCCCATAAACCTCTGCTATTTTCCATTATAGCTGTACCAACTTGCATTCCTACCAACAGTGCAGAGGGGTTTTGTTTTCTCTGTGTTCTCATCCTTACCTGCTGCTTCTCTTTTATCTAATCATAGGTATTCTGCCTGGTGTGAAGTGGCACATCACTGTTTCATTTGCCTGCCTCAAATGATAACTGATAAATATATTTTCATGTGTTTGTTGGCCACTCTACTGCCTTGATGCAAAAAAAGTGTTCATTTTAAAAATGTATATATATGTGTGTATATATGTATATATATTTGTATATATACAATGAACTGAGAGGGGAAAAGAAAAATGAGAACAGAATAATTTAAAATTACACTTTAAAAAATCTTAATATATATATATAAAGAGAGAGAGAGAGAGAGAAAGAGAGAGAGAGAAGCATCTGCATAGAGGGAGGTTGGGTGGAGGTGGGTGAGGGTGATTGGATGATGGGAGGGAAACTGGGAACATGAGTTCTGGGAAATATGCCCTGGTAGAGGGATGGGTGTTAGAACACTGTATGGTGGAAACCTTATCATAAACAGCTCCGCAGGGGTTTATCTCACAGTGATTCAATTAAAATATATAGGACAGAGGAGAGGACTTTGAAGCAGGGAGAAAATCAGTACTTTATGGTGGAAGAATGTTCATATTTTGATGGTGAGTATAGTATGGTGTTATATATTTTGAAGAGGTTTGAATGTACCCATAAAATATACACATGTATGTATATATACATAAGCATTACCTAAATAAGAAAGGAATAAATCTATACAATGATAATACTATGGCATTTACATAATAATAGATTATTAGATGAACAGAATCAAGAGTCTAGAAATAAATTCATAACAAAGAATATATGAGCACATGTACAGAGCAAGAATTATTTTTTAACTTATGGTATGGAATAAACTGAACAACTATGTGTAAAAAAATGAATTTTAACTGCTAACACCTACACAAAACATAACCAAAATGAATTAAAGATTTATATGTAAGACACGGAAACTGTCCTCCTGTCGTTCATCAATATGCTCGAGCGGGCCCAGTAACGTCTCCATTGTGAGACTTGTTACTGTGTTTGGCATATCGAACACGTCACGGGGAGCTTGCCAGGCATTGCGGTGCAGGCGAGATAATCTAGGTAGCTTGCCAGGCTCTCTCAGAGGGGCGGAGGAATCGAACCTGGCTCAGCCTGGCTGGCTGTGCGCATGGCAAACACCCTACCACTGTGCTATCGCTCCAGCCCTAAAATATATTCAAGGAAAGCACAGTAAGTGTTTCTGATATAAGCCTTAGAGCTCTCCTTGTGGAATTTTCTCTAAGAACCAGGCTGGTATAGGGGGTAGGGCACTGACCTATATGTGCTGAGCTGGGTTTGGTTCTGGAACCACAGAACCCTGCCAGGAGTGATCCCTAAACTTAGACTTAAGAGTAAGCCCTAAGTACCGCTGTGTGAAGCTCAAAATGCTGCCTCCATCCACCCCCCCCCCCAGAAAAAAAACACTTAAGAAAAAGGGGAACAAAAACAAAAATAAACAATTTAGTTTATGTCAAACTGAAGCTTGCACAGAAAACTATTGAATAGGAGAATGTATTTGCAAATATATGTCCAACATCCAATAAAGGATTAATAGCATAAACACACAGACACGGATACACAAACACAACTTGTATTACTCAATAACAATCAAGAAGAAAGACCATCTTTAAAAATGAATCTCAGCGGGGGCTGGAGTGATAGTACAGTGGGTAGGGCATTTGCCTTGCACGCGGCCAGCCGGGGTTCGATCCCCAGCATCCCATATGGTTCCCTGAGCACTACCAGAAGTAATTCCTGCGTGCAGAGCCAGGAGTTACCCCTGTACATCGCCAGCTGTGACCCAAAAAGGAAAAAAAATAAAACATTAAATTAAATTTAAAAAAAGCTGGATCCCAGAGTCAGGGAGATATCATAGGTCAAGGTGCATGTTTTGCACATGCAATCCTGGTCTCACTGCCAGGTGTGGCGCTGGTAGCACACAGTATCTCTGCATCGCCAGGTTCAGCAATAGAAGTGCTTGGCCAAATACTACCCAAGCATTTCCTGAGCACTGCATGGGAGGCCAAAAATATAAGAAACAAAAGTAGATGTAAATAAATAGCAATTATAAATAGACTTCACACAGAAGAAGAAACTTAGATACCCAACAGACACATGTAACTATATACTCATCAGAAACTTACCATGGCTCTGTTACTGCCATGATTTCTACATCAATTCTTTGAAATTATCTAGCCCCAAATCTCCACCCATTCTCTTGATGAAATATTTATAAAAGCCTTCAACTTTCTCTTATCACGGCTACTCTATCGTAGTCACTCCACTCAATTTATTTCTAGCAGCTATCACTTTCAAATGTTCTAGTTTATTTATATTTTTGAATCTCTAAGAAGACTTTGTTTAGAAACTCCATTGCCGATGCTGGCACAGATGCCATATAGATTATTTATGCTTATGAGCCAAACACTGCCAAAGATTTATAAGCAGTTGCCTCGGCATTGATACAAGCCTTGTCAGTGTTTCATTCACATTTCCACTAGATGCACTTTTTAACTCAGAATGATGATGGTGACGTCACTCCCATGTTTAAATTTATTTAAGGCATTTTACAATCTTTCAAGCCAAGCAAGTCATTAATTGACGGTCTTATTAATTGAGCATTTCCTTTTTTATCTGTGTGTTCAGGAACAGGAACAAGAGATGAGCCAACAAACTCACACACTTAAGTTCTACACATAAAACACGCGGAGTAAATTATAGCGGTGTGGAGTCAAGGGGAAGCAGAGAGTAGAAGTACTTGACTCGAACTGGGAAAGTCTTCTCAGAGGAGAGAAAGATAATAAATGAGGAGGGTTCTAGGGGCCATATCTTGACAAGGGAAAACCCATACCCCACACTTACAGAGCTTTGTACTTCCAGACGTCATGCTTAACGATCTTCGGTGTTTCCGTTCTGATGTTCAGCCTATATTTTATGTTTTGTGCCCCATAATTTCACAACTTGGAATCCCTGCTCTAAAGAGGACCAGTTAGAGTTCCCTAAGTGTCACCTGCCTATGACGTGATAATCTGCTTCTGTAATTCTGCCCAGGTAACCTTCTCTGTCTCACTGGTCGAGGAAACAAGCTTTTATTTTTTGGTTTTGGATCACACTGGCAACGTTCAGGGCTAACTCAGAAATCAGTCCTGGGGGTGCTCAGAGCACTATAGGGATCCCAAGGATCAAACCCGGGTCAGCCACATGCAAGACAAAGACTCTGCTGGCTGTACTATCCCTCTGGCCTCTTCTCTTAACTCCCCATGTTCTGAAAGCAACTTGACTTCTTACCTCAGTTTTCCAGAGAACAGTTCTTTTAGCTGCTGGTTGTTTTTGTGTGGCGGACACACCTGGCAGTGCTCAGGGTTTACTCCTTGCTCTGTGCTCAGGGACATGATCTGGATTGCTGGCTCGAAGTGTGGTGCATGTGGAGTATGAGGAAGCGGTGATGAAACTAGCAGTGCATGATGACCATATGTAGAGACAGGGATTGAGTCTGGCCAGGGCGTCCACTTACTAAGAAAGCACCACACTCACTGTACTGCCTTTCTGATCCCCAGAGAATAGTTATTCCTTAGACATTAGCATGCCAAATTAAGTGACAGGGATTTGGAGATAGAAATGACTTGCTCTTCATATAAAGAGAGTTAACAACCACTGAGATATGGAATACTCTTTAAAGACAATTTTTGATTCTGCAAACTATATTTACCTATTTTATAAATGAAGAATAGCTTTTCAGTTATTCTGGGAAGAAAAGGAAGAAAAGGCAAATGTTAATTTGAAATTTAGTTTAATATAGACAGTTTAGTCTGATCTATAATGAACAGCAATAGAGATGAAATCACAGGCAGAAAATATTTGACTATTATTTGTAAACATATGGTTTATTATAAATATAATTTAGTTATTAGCTATTTTTCCTCTTTGTATTACTGTCAATAATATAATTTCATATTTATTCCAAACATGGCATGCCACATATGCTGCAAATAATTAAAACCCATATTTATATATTATGTGTATATCAAAAGCTTAACTAATAGACAAATTTTCTGATAAGAATTATAATTTGATGTCAATTCAGGTGAAGTTAATGATATGGAAAGTAACAATTACGGTGTTATACTATTATTGTAAAAGAATGTAATTGTTGGCATAAAAATAAATTTGCAAACACAATAATCATTATTGAAATGTATATTGATGTTTTTTAATCAATCTAGTTGTCTTCCAGCACTATAGTAAGAAACAAGTCTTTATCGAGTAAAAAGATAAAATTCAACAGTATTCAAATGACAAAAATCTGAAGACATCACTTTTGATTTTTAAAACTAATCATCTAACTGAATATATAGAAACATATTGCAAATGGTTTAACTAGTAATTTGAAGATAGAGATATAAATGACTAATAGTTTAGATTCTTAAATTAGCATTTTACCTTTGGAAAATCTATGGGGATTTATAAAATTGATCAGATAAATCCATACTAACAATTGTTTTTATGATACAAATAATTATTATAATATGCATTTAATGTAACAATCCAGATGGTAGCTTATGATAATACATTTTGACAACAATGTAACTTTAATTCTATATTAATATGATAAAAGATAACACTTTTTGAATATTCTCTTAATAAAAACTCTAATATCGTATCAGTATATTACATGCCAGTAATAATGTACTACTATACCTGATTTATCATATTTGGTGAAACAGTATCATTAATTTCATTTTAACATATCTCCTTATTGATGAAATTGGGATACTTTGTTGACTGACTGCAAAGACTTCCTTTAAAGAAAATGATTGTTAATGATTTGAGACTGAATGAATCACAAGTCCTTCAGGTGTCTGGGTTAGTGAAGGATCTCTTGTTTGACTTGATATTCTGGACATTCTATATAAAATAAAAGTAAGAGTTAGCAAGATGTCATTTCAAAGAATTTAAAAAGATGTTTGTATGTGCTTATATCTGGGAATGGATTTTGTGCACAGGAGGAGAAAATAATTAAGTTCTTGAATGTTAAATCTCAATAGTAAGATACAGAATATTTTATAATCTTTATTAGAAGTATGATGAATTTTACTTCAATTTCCAAGTATATTTTTAAGCGTCTTTTCTTTCCTCAGATATTTAAATTTGTGAAAATTGATTTCTATATAAATTTCTCTAAAGATTATGGGTATTTAAATTTTGTATACTAAGAAACAAATATAAAAAATTATGTCTTTAATAAAAACTATATTTATTCTACATAGGTCAGGCCTGATCACAAGGTAAATGCCAACCAGTTTTCTTTCATTAAGGAGGCATATTTTTCCCCAGAAAAAGGGTAAAATATGTTTTGTTGTTGTTGTTGCTCTTATGCCTTTTTTCTTATTTAATTTTAATTACTTTAAAAATTTAAGTAATCTTGGGACTAAATTTTCCAATTACAGGTAATAATTTTAAACTGTATAAAAAGTAAATTATAAATTGATAATGAACTTAATAGCATAAATGAAATGATTTGAAACAAATATTACAGTAAATTCAGTATTTTGTCTTTAACAATCCCATTGCCACCCAAAATTTGAATATGCTTGTCTCTGAAGGTAAGAAGATGTGATTATAGTTACAGGAAACATTGGCTAACCAACATCTTATTTACCTGTGGTTCAACAATTATCTATAAAACTCCACAGATCTATGTGGCAGATGTGGACTTTATATATTATGTACGTGACTAAGAAATAAAGACTGAGAATCATTAAAATAAGATATTTTAGGCTAGGGAAAAGCATGTGTTTCTCTGAACAGTGCTTTCAATTATAAGTCAAATTCAGAAAAAATTAATACATCGAATTGTTCTTCCCTTATAATTTGCCTCTATTTGACCATCAAATCATATCTGGAACCTAAGGAAAGTCTTCTTATACAAAGATAACTTTTAAGGCTATTAAGAAGGGCAGTTGATGTGGGGTCTGATATTGATAAGCATCAAATAAAATGGTAAACACGGTTAGATCCAAAAGTGGACACAGCTCATCCAGCTACATATCCAGCTGGGTTGTTTGCTACATCGAGTAACAATGTTCAATGCCACCATGTTGGAAAATGGAGAATTATAAAATCAATTCCCGGCCAGCCCATCCCTATATGTTATTTGTTCACTTTCCTCTTGGCTATAGTGAGTGCTCTGGGTACTCCAATTTTCTCTATGAGATGTCATTTAGGACAGTGGCTGTCTGAATGGTCAGTCAGAGGTGGTGGGTGAGCCTGTGCTCATGTCTTAGGTGGAAAGGCTCTTGGTCTAGGGCTGCTAGCCGGCTGCAAGCTCTACCATGTGACCTGCCCCTTGGCTCTTGGTCCAGGGTTGCTAGGCTACAGCAACCCTACCATGTGACCCGCCCCTTGGTCTTGCCATGCTAAGACCCTTTTCACTGCAGTGTTTTATCTTCCTGGTTGTCCAGGCTTGTGACTATGACTAGAGGAATGTGTAGATTGATGCTCATCTCTTTACTAAATCTGTGTGTCATGACATGAGAAATACACAATGTCCTTGATCCACTTTAAGCCACTGTCACTGTCACTGTCCTCCCATTTTTCATTGATTTGCTCGAGCGGGCCCAGTAGCATCTCTATTGTGACAATTGTTACTGTGTTTGGCATATCGAATATGTCACAGGTAGCTTGCCAGGCTTTGCTGTGCGGGCGAGATACTCTGGGTAGCTTGGCAGGCTTCCGAGAGGGGTGGAGAAATCTAATTTGGCCATGTTGGCTGCTTGCAAGGCAAACACCCTACCCGCTGTGCTATCACTCCAGCCCACACTCTAAGCCAAATAATATTTTTGTTTATGTGTGTAAAATATTTATTTTCACTGTGCTTATGGTGTTAATGCTATTTATTCATGTGCGCAAATAATGTATATTTGTTTATATGACTATACTTGAATATTATATAAAATTACACTGTGTTTATAACCATTTATGATACTCGACTTAAAACACATACATGCACTGTAGCACTGTCCTCCCATTGTTCATCGATTTGTTCGAGCAGGAACCAGTAATGTCTCCATTGTGAGAATTGTTACTGTTTTTGGCATATCAAATATGTCACAAGTAGCTTGCCGTGTGGGCGGAATACTCTTGGTAGCTTGCCAGGCTCTTCGAGGGGGGCGGAGAACATACATGCACATGTATGATAAAATGTGAATGAACATTATTAAAATTAAAAAGGGTAATATTTAAAAAACTGAGGTACATATGATTTTATCTCTACTTTAATGATTAAAAAGTGAAAAAATTTAAAGCCAATATATATAGAAGTATATCTCATCTTAAATCTTATATTTAGCATAGAAAATTAGTGCTCTCAGTAGTAATAGAAGTCAAGGAAAAAGGGGTTCAAAAATGGGATTATCAATGGGTAATAGATTTTCTCAGTCCCTACTTTAATAACCCTTTTAATAGTTGTTAAAAGATGAATAAATTGCTTAGAATATAAGAAATAATTTTTGGTAGCCATAAAATGAAGTACACAACTTATTATGTAGGCTGAGCAACCCTGTAAATGATGTGAATGAAGAAAACAGGTAATTCAACTTAGATTTTTCATAAAAATCAGAAAAAAAGACAAAGTGAAAGAAATTAAGTAAAGCGAGGAAAAGTTCATAGTTTAGGGAGAGAATGTACTTGTATGATGTCACATAAAATTTCCTTGTGATCACATTTCCCTTTGCTATGAAGGCTGACTTAAGTTTCCATGGATCTGACCATACGAAAGTGGATTCTGTACATTCTGTGGTGGGAATTATGCCTGGTCCTGGCTGGCCCCCTCCGGCCTTTCCCACCTGAGCTGGAGTGTTACCTCAGTTTCAGCATACCCAGGAGAAGGATTCCACAGGTAACTGTCACGCATGTGATGGCATAAATGATAACTAAAAAAAAAAGATACTTTTTAATCTACCATGATTTTAGAGGGAATAAATAAAAATATCACAAAGGACTAATTTTTAACTAACCTGTGAAGAGGGAATAAAATCCATACATTGATATTTTCTTTGCATGTCTTCTGTTAGGCATTTTGACATTAGAAGGGGCCGGATAATCTGAAACAAAATGTTGAAGGTAATATTAAGGTGTTGAAAAGTGACAGCAGCGAAGAGAAGACCGGCTGGCGGGCTCCACAACTCCCGGAGAATTCTCCTGGCCCCAGACAGAGCCAATATCACCAGGAGGTCCCAGATGGGGTAGGTGCTGTCTCCCCGCCTTCTCCATATGGAATCACGGCGACCAGGAGCTTCTTCAAGCATGGCTCCATCTGAGGGTACCAGGACTATTATCCAAACTGCACGGCCACTTACGCGCCTGCCTGACGTTTCCTAATATGCAAAGTGATCAATGGAAAGTAAATGATCTAGCGTTTGTCCCTGAAATATAGGCTTGAATGTTGGTGGGAAAATCTGAGCAAAATGTAATGCCCAACCGAAATGCATCTGGACTGTGCATTCAACTACCGTGCTATGCCACCCTGGGAGGGGAAGGGTGTCTGTCCCTCCACCTGTCCCCTGTGCAGCGGTGGCATGGTGGCCTGCATCTTTTAGAGCCTAATGAACTGCCAGGTATGAGACTGCATCGACGAGGCACATGGGGCCTCTTGGAATGGGGGGTGGAATCAGCCCTGCTCCCCACCATGACAATGCCCTGGGTTGCCAAGCTCAAACACCTCCTCCGGGTTCTGAATGCCCGTGATCCCAGAGGCACACAAACCAATCTCAGAACCCAGGGGCTTTTGGCAGTAATCCCTCTAGGCTTATTACTAAAATATCGGAAATCCAAATACGCATGGCCGCTATTGCGGCCACACGACATCATATACTCTTCATAATCAGCAATAGAAAACAAAATATCTAATGATGTCTTTTTGGCAGGTCTGAATGTTGGGGAAAATTCCAAATAATAATGTTGGGTCTTTTGTCATAATATTGAATGTGATCGATGTAGAGAGAGAGAGAGAGTAAAGTGGAAATCTGCCACACTGGCAGGGAGTGAGTGGGAGAGGGGGTATACTGGGGTTCTTGGTGGTGGAAAATGTGCACCGGTGAAGGGATGGGTGTTTGATCATTGTATAATCGACCAAGACTTAAACTGAAAGGCTTTGTGACTGTTCTCGCAGTGATTCAAGAGATAAAATTTTAAAAATGCATTATAGCGCATGGTTTTTTAATTTCCTATGAATTATATCAAAAGACCTCAATTTATTTGTCGAACATTATCTTAAATCCAGTCTAGGCAGAAAGTGGGCTCACTTTTCTTGTATTTACGAGCTGATATTTTCCCACTTAAATCAGATGATTTTTTATACCTAATTTTTCAAATTATAATTAGAAAAATACATTTTAAAATATAATTATCGGCAGTACATTATAGACAGAATAGGAAGAAAGAAAACAAACTTTGGGGTGCTACTCATCAAGGTTTTGGAAAAAATCCGTGTTTACAAGAGTGTTTTCTTTTGTTTTCTTTGAGAGATTTTCATTTCCTAAAGACATTTTATGGATTTTTGCAGCAGACACCCCTGAAGCAATCAGTCTGTCCTGGCACACAGGCACAGTTTAATAACTGATTGTGCTGATTTTCTTATGGTGAGTTCTTTAAAGCTCTCCGGTCTCTATTTTTGTTAACAATGTTTGTGTCGCTTAAGGTCTATTTTTGATCACTGGCTCTGGTCTCCCCGCCACACTCTCCTAAACACATCTCCGTCGCACCTCACAACTTTGAAGATTCCTAACATTAATTGATAGCTCTATTTTAGATAGCTCAAACTGAGAACTTTGAAGTGAAAACACATCTAGTTTTAACAAAATTCAACAAAATATAAACAGCAAAGATACAAATAGCACAAGTGACAAGTTCTAAAGTGATAAATGATGAGTTAAGTGGTCTTTATTTACATACATATACATATATATGTATTAAATTTTCATTTGAGAGAAACTTGACTGCTATCTCTTCCATATGTTTCATGATGAACTTTGAGACTTGGAAGATAAAGTCTTTTTAAACAAGGACATAACTTTTAGAATTATTATAGTTTAGGTAGTTACAATTTTGTTAGAACATTATAGTGTTAATATAAAAAAATGACTACACTTCAACACCACCACACTCAATATGATTCCTATGTCTCTCCTAGTCTCTCCTAGTCCTAAGTCTCACCTAGTCCGATATTCCCCTTACCACCACACTGTTTCATAATTGGTTCTATACTGCAGAGCTGACAGTTTGTCATTGTTCCACATTGGGCAGATATTTTTGCAGAGATGAGTGTCTTGAGAGAGAGAGAGAGAGAGACATTGCACCCAAAGACAAATAGTGATTACAGGTACTCAGGAAGAAGGGAGGTAGGAGAAGAGTTCCAAAGACTCTGTTCCTTCCTCTCTCCTTCCCACTATACTGCTGTTCAAAAGGTAAATCCTTGGAGGCCGAAACGTGAGTCCTAGGTGAGGAATAGGAGACCATAGGATACAGACTGTTTTCAACCAGGAACCACTCCCCAGGTGAGGCCAGGACAATAAGTCCCACGTAAGAGGTAGAGAAGTGACTGAAGACTTGGGGGCTGGAGAGAAAGTGCGGATTAGGTATTTGCTTGCTTTGCCTCTAGTAGGTGCCGCATTGGGTCTCAAGCACCCTCGGAACATCGGAACACCCAGGAATTGCTTCTCGCCTACCAGAAAGCAGCGGAGAATTTTCTCATTATAAACCCAATTTTCATGGATTCTGAATTCTATTATAGCTACGACATTTTTAGCTCAAGATTTTTAACTCTCCAACTCATATGGGGGGTTATTAACCATTAATAAAATCTAATGTTCTAATGAACTTAGAAACAAATCAGCCTCATCTGAACGTAAAGGTGTCAGGATAGACCTTAGATTATTTCACCCCTTTTTGTGGCTAAAAATAATTTGTTATCCGTTATAAATTTAGAATGAAAAAAAGTAGTAATTTCAGTTAAAGCCTACTATATAATTGTAGACTTTTTTAAAAAAAAGAATTATTTTTATTCAAATCGAACATACATTTTTTTGAAAAATGTTATGCATTTTATATTAAAATAAATTCAGATTATGTAGGATAAATAAAAATACTTTTGTTTCTTTAGTATTTTGTGGCATTTTAGGCAGGTATGTGACTTAAATATAAATGAATAATATCAATAATTTGATTTTTTGAAATGTACTGCAGCTTTCCTTTATGCTATGTGTAAGTACTTTAACTAGATAAAAAATACTTTCTTTGCATTAGGGAAAACTAATTTTACAAATGAAGTTCACTTTTACATGTAACCACCCTAAGTAATTGTTAAACATTCATGTAGCAAACTTTAGAAAGAATCCTCTCATTCGCTAAATTTCACTCACATGGAACTCATTAACAAAGTTATAATAGATCAATGACAGAAATGCTCACTAATGATCCCAGTGAAAATTTTTATGCGTCTAGCAATCACTCCACAATTTTAAATATTACACCCTAGGAGGATACCAAATATCAGTCAGAGAGATTAATGTTACAGAGGGTTTCTTGGCTACCGAGGCCCATTGGAGATTCTCTTCGCCTTTTATAAACAGTGAGGTTTACAGTGTTTTATAACCATGAAATTAAAGTCAGTAGAGTTAATAACCACCCTCAGTCCCACACCATCTGCTATATTTATAGATAAACACTATAAGTGACTTGTTTATCTTAACTTGCACCCTTGAGGAATTAAATAGTATTTTGAATGATATTGTAGAATCCCTGTTCATTGGATGGGAAATCAAGATTAATTTCAGATGAACATTAAGAACAAATCTAAATAGTATTCTTCCCAAATGAGCTATGGATATATGATCATTTTCTATATTTTTCTTTTCAAGGCCTTATACAGATGTGGCTGAGAACTGATGGAGACTAAGTCTCTACTTAATTAATAGAAAATGGAAAATTGCTTTGTAAATATCTAGATCATATAACAAATATTGGTTAGAATGCCTGTAATAATGCTAGAAACCTTAAAATGGAAATTTAGACATATCACAAATTTAAATTTTTTGACAGACTTCTTATAATATATTTTGTGACTATTTAAAATATGCTTCACAACTAAAATTACTGTATTTTCTCCATATTCAAATGAAAGAAGAGTAATGCCAGTGGACAGCTTAGTGAAAATAAAAGTTCCAGGATAACCTTATTTTTTGAATATTCAAGATTTGGTGCTGTTTATCAGTCTTAATACATTAAAGGTTTAATTTGGGCGTTCTACTTTGAAAATCACCCACATCTCAAATTTGATTATATAACCATTTTCTATTACTTTATGAATTTTCCTATGATATTTTAGCTTATACACAATGCTGTTATATGTCAGACATTTTCAAAGAAATGAAATAGATCATTTCATGTTTGATATTAAACAGAAATACACACACACACACACACACACACACACACTATGGGGACCACACCCGGAATCTCCCAGGGCACAAGAATCCTCCTGGCATTATGTGATTGGGACACGGACATGGGTCATAGGCCATGCTGGAAATCCAACCAGGCTCAGTCATGTGTAAGGTTAGCATCTTAGCCCTGGGCTAACTCTCCATACACTAACAGGATACGTAAATGAATGTTGAAAGTTTAAAGGTAGTTCTAGACTTCTATTTTAGTGTATTTTGTTTTTCACAGATGTAGAATTAGGCACGCTGATCATCAACATAAAAACGGAGGCTCAGCAGGGTGATACCATTTCACCGAAACTCTTCAGTGCCACCCTTGAGAATATCATGCGATGACTGGAATGGGAAGAAATGGGAGTGAAGATAGGCGGTTGGCAACTACACCACCTCTGCTTCGCTGATGACATCATTCTTATAACACCAAACATTAGTCAAGCAGCACAAATGCTGGCCGACTTCGACTGTGAGTGTGGAAAGGTCGGATGGCAGCTGAATCTCACAAAGACAAAGTCCATGAGAAATGGACTCGTTCCTGACATTCCATTAGCTCTCAATGGAATGAGCATATCCAAATGCAGCAGTTGTGTGTACCTAGGTCAAGAACT